CAAAACCAGTCTTATTTTGTTTGGGTTTTTTAATTAAAAAAAAAAATAAAGTAACTCCCAATTAGTTCTGTCCCTGATTGATTAATACATTAATGAGGATAGAAAGCAACATGAACTGAGATAATTAAGTAGTGCAAAAATTTGCTGCCACTGGTACATATAATTTTTAAATACATATGAATGGCCATGCTGGGGGCACTTCTTTGAAAGACCATGGTTATAACCTTGGTCCTGTGCACTATCACTTGTCTCATTGCTCTGAACGCCTGCTTTACTAAATGAAACTTAGCTTGTGAGCACCAGGGCCTGTAGAAGTGTGTGTGTGTTTTTATAGGTATTGATTGCCTCTGGGGGATGTACCTGCAAATACCAACCACCATAGTAATTATATTTCACTTTTTATTACTTTATATTTGTTCCTTTATTTTTGGCTCTAAATTATGCCCCTTTAATCTTTAATGATAACAACAATAATAACAATAACAATAATAATAATAAAAGATAGTAAAAATAAATTAATAAATTAAAATTAATACTAATGGTGGAGAATGAAGTATGAAACAAAGAGAATGTACTGTAAATTCTCATAAATATTTTCCTCCCCAAAATTATTTTACTGCAGAATTTGTGCAATGGTATAGTCAGTGCAAAATACTGTGTATTTTCTTACCTGATATGTGACCGTACTGCTACAACAGTAAATGTCATAAATCACTTATGAATTAATTTGGGTTTAGTTTATTTTTTATGTTTTAGAACTCTTCTAAAGTTTTTACATTTACTTCAGAATACAAGTTCTTTTATCACCACTTAATCATTCTCATTTGTTTAAAAAGAAAAAGTATTTATCTTGTCTGTCAGTTGGCTGCTATTTAAAATTCTATGAAAAACATCTGCTAGTTTGAAATTTAAAGTTGCATTTTTGCGTACAATAGAATCAGCATCAGCATGAAAAGAATTAAACAATTATTTTAATTTTTAATTTGACTTGTTTTGAATGAAACTATTATTTCCTTTAATCAGATTTTGTAGAGATAAAGTTAATTAAAAAGCATGTTTTTACAATATATGTAAGTATTGTTAAATGCAGGTAATTTCAGTTAGGTTATGAAGAGGATATTTGAGGACTGATTCAGTGTTTGAGAAATCATCTTTTATGTTTTCCAGTAAGTTGAATTTATGTCACTGAATAAGCATCTCCAGTGTATTCCCCTAAAAATGCGTTTGTGAAAATCTGAAGATAATTTGTAAATGCATCATAAACTAAGGAATGAGAAGTGAAACACTTACGTGCTTCAAGAAAAGATATAGAAGGGTCCTATATACTTCAAAGTTGAAAACTTAAAATACAAAAGGTGTTTGGTGGTAATGCTGAAAAAAGAATAATTGATATAGAATTAAATTTTACTGCTGTGATACTCCACCAGTGTTTTAATTTATGTTTAATTAAAACTTCTTTCGTGTAACTGAATATGTGTGTGAAATGGTGGTAATGTGTTACAGCTTACTAATAATGGTGTTTCTCTTACTGAGGTTTAACCTGCCATCTTTCAATGGCAAAGTGCCTGTTGATATTCCTGGGAGTTTGGGCAACTGCAGAGCAAGAAAGATTAAACAGTACTTTTGAAATTATGTGCAGAAGTAATAAGAACATTAAAGTTGCGGAGTTAAGCACCAGAAGTTGCCTGTTCTAACCTTTATGTAGTCTTGTTGTACATATACATTATGATAATTCTGTTCCTTGTTATACTGAAAATCTGTTTCAGATTTTCTTAAATGCAGGATTGTCATCTGTCTTTTTGCAGTTCTGTGCTCCATCTCTTGTCTCTCACATACATTGAAAAGTTAAGTACCTTGAAGAAATAACTTTCTGATCATCTTGTAAAAAGCCGTATCACAGGTGATAGGCACTGAGGGATCAAATTAACACTGCATAAGAAACTGAGCTGTCAGCAAAATGCTTTAGTTAGTGGTTTGTTTCTGTTTCTGTCCCTACAATTACACTTGGACCTGGATAGCAGCTACAGAACTGCTTGCAGCTTCCCAGTAGAAATGGTAACTTAAGTAGTGCAAAAACTAGTTTGAGTCCAAATAGTTTCAGAAGAATGCTCCTGATAAGGTTCCCTGCAGGAACAGTGAAAAAGATTTATCAATTCTTTAATTTTCCTGTAGATTAAATCCTGATTATATTGTGATGACATAATGGTGGACTAGACTTGACATATTTCAATATGGAGTGTGTTTGTGAGACTGTTATTGTTTGCAGGAGAGAGAAGAGGGTTGGTTTTTATTGTATGGACCTGTCTCAAGTTTTGAGGCTTCATGTTTCAAACTATTACCTGAGTTGTTAAACCAGAGTAACACGTAGCATTTAGAGTATGGTCTGTTTTCAGCGTGATGATGCATGACTCCAACCAAATTATTTTCACCTAGCATTTTCTGGTGTTTCAAAAGAATAATTTAGTTGATAACCCTAAATATAATTGGATCAGATGTTTCTGGTTTCTGAGTTGCTGTTAACGTGTTTTCTCAGGTAGCATTTTTCTGTCATCCCTTTCTCATGAGGTTGTCTGTTGTTTCTGCCGTGGTCATTACTAGAATTGTTGTGTACAATTCCTGCTCTTCATATAGCTCCATGCTGCAAGTACCTTCAAATATTGGTAATTTAAGATGTTTATATATATCTCTGTATATACCTACACACATGAACAAACACGTGCATACATGTGTATATGAGTGTGTAAAGGGGTTGATACCGAATTTTTGAATTACTGATGAAAATAGCACTAGTAAAATTGTTCTTTAAACCCCACGTTTGCTTTCTTGATATTTTTAATAGACATTATAATACACCTGTGAATCTTTAAAAATGCTGTCATGAAATGATACTTCTGTGTCTGAGAATTTCTCTCTACACTTTCATGACAACTGAAATCTATGGATGTGTTCTTGGGTTCAGCCCCGAAGGTTCAACATCTGGCCAATGGAAATGAAACATTTTCACCAGAAGTTCTTGCACTTGGAATTTGTTTCCTTCTGTAGGTCTGTGTCAAAACCTGACTGAGCCTGTTTAACTTGAGGCAATGGTGTAAAGCCCATCTGTTCCTTGAAACTTTTCCCTGAAGGAGTGATCTAGAGTGTATTTATGTTCTCAGCTGTGGTTGCGCTTTTTCAAATACTTAGTTTTTTGACTAATTTGTGGTTTGGATTTGTTTAAAGGTATGCTGAATGGATGTATTTTTGAAGCAAATTTTAAGAATGCTGCAGAACTTCCTTATCTTTAACAGTGAAGACCTCGTGTCTCTGCTTACTATGGATGGAGAAATAACATTTATGAACTGCTACTGTTAAGAGGAATAGAGAACCCACTGAGATTTCTGTTCTATTTAACATATGCAAAAGTCCCTGAAAATAAGTACAAATGCAAAACACATATAACTGAATATCTTTAAACACCTGGTTTTAAAAAATTTATTGACAGTGTAATAGGTTGTTACATTCTTTAGAAGGAAAGAGTACTAACGATTTTGTATATAGATTTACTATCTTTGCATTTGAACTTGGAATTATCGATTTAATTTGGTAGGAAGTCCATGTGATAAAGCAAGGTTCTAATCAAAATTTTCTTCATGAACTCTTGTTGAGTGTTCTTGGGGGGAAAAGTGTACAGTTAAGTACTTAACAAAATTAAAAATTATAAAACCCAACATTATGAAATGCTTTTGTGGATGAAGAGTCTGTACTTCTCTGACATCGTGACAATGTAAGTAGTTTAGGTTAACATTTTTGTGGGTTGAAAAGAGACAACATTGTTGCGAAGGCTCTTCAAATGTAAATACCGGGACAGGGTTACAATAATTTGTTCTTGTAGGATATTTGAATGAATAATTTCATTAATTAAAGAAGATAGAGTCTTGTCTACATGAGGAAATTACCACAAGCGAGAGATGGTATGAATTTAAAGTATAATAGCTATTCAGCACTAACCTCTTATACAAACAATTTTATTCTGTACTACAAATGACCTTTCATACTTTAGTTGACTGAAAAACATGCAAGTTCCCTCCAGCCCCAATGACAAATAAATATTTATGTTGGGAGTTAGTGCAGAACAGTTACTACATGATAAAATTACATTGTAGCTTATTCTGTACTCCATTGACCTTCTTAAAAGCATTCTTAGGACAAAGTATAGCATTGCGTTACAAATGTATTCCTACAGGTACTTGTATATTACATATGGATTTACAGCAAAATATATTATTTTTAAGAATATCTATATTCATCTATATATTCTGAGATATTGTAAGTCTATTATGCTTTGCTGAAATCAAAGATGATGGTCATGCAAATTAGACTTGTAAAATAAATTGACTCATCAACTTTAGTTACTATGTTGACATATAAGAACTAATGTTACTAAAACAATGGGATTAACAGCAACTGGTGGGATTAGAGTTCAGATATGTCATAAATTACTTCTTTTCAATAATGGTACAATCACAAAATTACCTTTATTATCATTTGTAATGTTAGATAACAAAGCTAACTGCCCTCTTGTCATTGCTTATGTGATAGACATTAAAAAAAGAAAAATAATTGACCACAAGAGTTATCCTATGTCAGTCAGCTTCTGAGGATGGCCACTGTTCCACTGCCTTTATGGCTTTCTAATGCAGTGAATTCAGGACACAAATATGGAAGCATTCACATGAGAAAATCAGAAAATGTTTAAATTCCTGTAACTCTTAAACCACGTGAAGACAATGGCACTGCTTGTGTATTAGTGTATTTAAACATGATATGCATTTTGGCTTTTCATAAGAATGTAATTTCAAATACTTTAATTTGCTAATTTTGCAGGTTTTATCAACTAACTACTTTTGTTCTAAAACAGAAGTGTGCATTGTTTCTCAGGTGCTCTGATCACATTTTTTTGTCTTCAAGTGTATCTCTATTCATTTCTTAAATATTCTTTTTTGGTTCTATAATTTTCTAAGAAAATAGAAAAACTGGGATTAGAACTGAATGGAAGCAAACAGCGTTTGGAACAAGCCCAGCAGGATGTGACAGGAGCCAGAGAGGAGTGCCTAAAACTGGCAGAACTGCTGAGTAAATCTGAACACCAACTGCACCTCACCAGGTACCCCTTATCCTATTACATGCTGTAGTACCAATTTCATTCTGCTAATTTTTTGCCACAGGCTTCCCCACAGTTGTTGTAGATCCTTGTAGTCATTGTCTGCATGGGCAGCCCTCACTCAAGTTAGAAGCGGAGGTTGGAATAAGTGAGTTATGAACTACAAAGTGAGTGATGAATTATATAGAAGTCAATTGCTAGTGTAGTAGAAAAGGCAGTGTTCAACCCTGCTGATGAGGTGGCATGCTTCTGGGCAGGAAGAAGAGCAGGAGACACTATGGAAGCATTCTTCTTCTTGTTGCTGTGTAGGACAAAGATATTTGAAATGTTTAAGACTAGTCTACAGCAGCACCTTTTAAGAATAAGAGTTCTCAGATTCATAACCTGAAATTTCTGCAGCAGAATGACCAGGAACATATAAATGATCATAATCATGTCTGTAGGAGGTAAGCTCAAGTAAGTGAGGAGGGTGTTTAAGTCACTTCCTCAGTGAAGATATAGTACAATGCAATGTGTGATGAATTTATTCCATCCTTGGGTATAGTTCCCAATTTTATTTAATGTACTACTCATTACACATTTCTAGAAAACTCCAGAAGGTTGACATGCCAATTGTTCCTTGCAGCTTGAGTTTTGGTAACTGCAGAATTGTTTCCTTTTGCCTCAGAAAATGCTATTGTCTGACAGTTTGCAGACTTTTGGTTGTGTGTGTGGTTAGTGTTTTGTTCTGCCACCCTGCTCTCCCCAGGAGTGAGCATCCAGAAACAAATCTGGCAGCTTTTGCTCAGTCCTTAAAGAAAAAAGTTAAGTTAGCTTAAATTTTTCAAGGGGGGAAAAAAAAGCTCAGATTTTTATCACTTAACAGAAGTCTGTGTGTTTATCCAACTCTTGTACATTTTGGGCTTTGTGAGAATTTTACCATTGAGTAAATGGAAATAAAATAGAGCCTTGTCTAAACTATTGAATTCAATGAATAATTTTTTTTTATTCAGCTAAATTCCTCTGTAATTCAGAGCACGGTTGTTTAACAGATGGAAGAAAGTACCACTCTAACAGCCTGTATTTAGAGAAAAAAATATGCTAGAGGTTAATGAACTTGAAAAAAGTTTTGGGTGAGTTGTTAAGATATCTAAAGTTTGGATTTAGCAGAACTTTATTAATAATGATTTGTTGTGATAGTTAACCAAATGGCTTACCATGCTCCTTTTAGCAAAAAGCTGATTATATGCAATACAGCTCTGGATATCTTGGGGGAAAACTGAGTAGCGAATTTATAATTTTTTATTTTTTTGTGAAAGTACTTAAAATGTAAAAATGAGGACTGTTGCCTACTTTTACATAGCAAGGTAATTAAAGCTGAATACCTAGCATACAGATGATTTAGCTAGCTTTTATGGTTTCTAACTCAGAAAGTTTCTGAGATCCAAATCACTGGATGCTGGGAATAGCATTTTGGGCAAGTAATGCTCTGTGCTGGCCCCGTTCTTGTACAATTTCACAGACGCCTGCCTTTTAAGACAGATGCTGAACTGCCACGGCTTCTTTGACCTAGTGCAGACGTTCTTCTGCAAGGTGCTGATCTCTTGGGTTTTGGGGTTTTTTTTTAATACTTTGTGTTCACGTTATGGTTTCTGCTTGTAAGTATTGAAATGTTTTCTATGCTGACATGTTGGAAAAGGGTATATGCTGAGGCATGGGAAATAGGTTCAAATCTTTCTCCTTGACATTCCCCAAATTCTGTAATATGTTGTAGATTTTTGTGTCCTCTGTATATTTGGACTGTCTGTCTGCTTTACAGGAACACATTAGGTGATGTTGCTGTCAAGGGTGAAGGAGGGAGCAAAAGAGATGAGTGATTCATTGTTCCTGGACTGTTACATGTTTCCCCCTTGTACTGAGATTGGTAGGGCGGTGTTAGGGGTGTTCTTGCAGAGTTGCCTGTTTTCCCTGAGTCGCAGAGGAAAACATCCCCTACTCAAATGAAACTTGGCCTTAGCCTGTACTCATTTCTTCCTCTTAGATCACTTCCTGGCAGAACTGATTATCTCTCTTAGTGAAGGTATAAAAGTTACATGCTTCTAGTTGTATCAGTTTTGCCTTTTTGAACTTAGTATGTTTTTCATGGATTGGTACATCCATAGTTTTTGAATGTGACTTTTATTTCCTTGTGGTTTGCCTTCTTTCATTTATTCCCTTCATCTCAAATGGCAAGAGTGTCAGTGAAAATACTCACTTGAAGGGTAGGGGTAATAGCAATCCTTGGGGGGTTATAGACCCATTCACTGTGGCACTTGCCAAGGAAAACAGATTTTAAGCTCTAGAGTCCTGCCAGTGGGAGGTTGCTGCAGAAATTGCACTGATTTAGTGCATCTCTTGGGTATTCTGGCCTTGGCCTTGTCTTCCTGATTCTCTTCTTTTCAGGAGAGGACCAGCTGGTCCGCTCCAAGTCTTCTCACAGCGCTGGATTTGAGGGACTGCTGTTACACCGTTGCGGATGGTTTTTCTGTTGCCTTGCATGACCTGTCTGTGCTGTTCTGGCAGAAACTAGAGGTAGCTGAGGAGATACAGAAATAATTCTTTATTTTGTATGAATTAGTATATTACTAAGGAGAAAAGTTCTTCACTAATCCACTGATTCTATGTTTGGATATTGCAAATAAATAGGATAATAAAATGAATACAAGAACTTTGGATTTTAATGTACAAAAATGAGATGATAAACGTATATGAATGGATTAAAAGAGAAAAAAACATGCAGTCTGTCTCTTAATGAGAAAAAGAAAGTGCTCTGCAGAGCAACACTCTTCCCCATGAGTCCCACTTCTTTGCTGCATCCTAGTTTTCAGACATTGTTGATTGATTACCAACTAAACAGCTTCTAAGTTAACAAAATGTACTTGTTAAAAATGAAGAAAAAAAGGTTACAATTAGATATTCTAAACCATTGCCACAGAGTTTAAAATTGCCTTTTCCTGTCACCTTTCTTCCTGGAGCAATATGTTGCTTAGAAATCCTTGCTATTAACATGCATTTTCTGCTATTAAATCTAGTTAGTAATTCTAATTTGTATATCTTCAAAAGAATGGGAAAATACAGAATTTTTACTGTGCAGTTTGGCTTGTCAGTCATGTAACTTTGCAGATATCACCATGCTATGAGGCTGACCATGATTGTTTAAAGTGTTCTTGGATTTTTTTTGCCCTAGTTTCAGCTTTATGTTTATTTGTATTAGAGTTACTGTAGTAGGAGAATCTTATGAAACTAGTTCTGAAATCAATGTTAAATTGCCATTACTTTGGCAAGGTTAGGTCTTGCTAATGAATCTTACCTGAATCCATTCTTCAGAGAGTAGAAAACATACAAATCTTGTTCTTAGTTGATGAAGGAATAGTCATTAAAAATCATGTCAATATGCTCATGGAAAAGATCATATAAAAGATACACGATGTTAAAAACTTGTCCAGATCTTAGCGTGCCATCTAACTTAATAAAATTTTTAACTATTTTTGTGTAACAGAATCATCATTGAAAAACTTTCCTCTTTCTTTTTCAGCCATATCTGAAGTTATTCTTTGTTTTAGTTACAGTCAGATGTAGTTCCTGTTTACATATGCCAAAGAAGTTAAGTAAATCTTAAGAAGCGAGGGAATCGTTGAATTTCAAAATTGAATCTTTTTCTGTACCATCGTACGTTTTCTCAGGTATGGAGGTAGGTAGATGGCTCGAGATACTTTAGATTGAAATGTCATCTAAAATTTGCTGGCAAATAAAATGGAGTAGAACTGAAGCAGATTTAGTTTAGTTTAATTTTTTATTATTCTTGTTTGCTTATATGAATCATTATAAGCACTATTGAAGGTCAGCTTCTAGGTGAGGAAAAATTACTAAATGCTTTCAGGTTCAGGTGACCCACCAAGGTGCCCTAAATCCCTGTGTCATTCTTTTGAAGGACTAAAGTCTGTATTACAGTGAGTCATTGGGTGTTGAGTTTCTTGATTATTGTTTTTTCCCCATTATGTGATATTCCTTTTCTCCCCTCTTTTTGACGATGATACAATCTCTAGAAAGCATCAGATCTAAGAAAGTGGCAATTAGGTTTAAGCAGTGCTATAACCATCCTACTGTGCATTGGTCCTTCTTGCTAGTTTCAATGACTCCATTAAGGCTAGCTTCTATTACATGCAAAATAAATCAAGCACATACCCTTCCAGCTTAATATGGCATTAGCACAATCTCTGAAGCTTTGGTGTTGAGCTGTATGTTGTCATCAGTGTTTCTTGTTAGAAATGCAGCATGCCTCGTACATTGATTTCCCTATTTAAACTATACTATTAAATGATAAAATTGTAAAATGACTTGTAGGTGGTTATACATAGCCTTCTAGGGAGTTGCACACTACTTAGTATTTATTGTTTTTTTCCTAGCAGTATCTATCAGTTAGCAGCATACTTACTGCGGTGCTTTTCCCACCAATTTCAGCATGTCAGAGTCCATCGTCTGTGCTGGGAAGGAGTTCTAAAGAAATGCTTTTACTAATATTAAATAACAGAGATATGCTTTACATTTCCAGACTAACTGATGAAAGGACAAATAACACTTGAATTGGGGGGGTTGGGGGAGAAGCATAAATAGGGGTGTAAGCAGTGATTGATTTCTAATTTTTTTATATTCTGCTCGTCTTGTTCAGAACCGTTATTTTAGAATTCAGGGAGGGGTGATAACGTGAAGCAACTCTGACAACTAATAAACTTTTTAGATTATGCTTCATATGTTTACTTTTCATTAAATTTAGGGATGGTTGCGACTATGTTGTTGTGATTCAGTCAACATTTATTTCTATCTGTTTTTCATATACAAAGGCATCGGGGTGCCAGAAAATAAACTGTTAACGGAGAATTAACTTCTTTGGCACGCTTTCATACTTATCTTCCAAATTAAAGAAAATGAAATGGGCAGAAGCAGAGTGTAGATTACCTCCTTTTTGTCAAAAATGGTGGGAATTT